TGTGTGTGTTTGTGTGTGCGTGTGTGTGAGTGTGTGTTTGTGTGTGTACGTGCATGCGTAGTATTGTATTTGTATACATACATATGCTCAAAATATTGTGTAGACGTGTTTGTGTGTACGAGCTTGTACATCCCTACATGCATGCGCGCTAACGGATTACTTACTTTTCCGCTGTACATTGCGAAAGCTTTGTAGGGGCGTGCTTCTCCTTTTAGCTGCAGGATATCGATGAGGCCGGAGCGTTCTCTTGTGAAGCATCTTTTGCGGCGCTGAAGAAGACTGTTTTATTCGTGGTGGCTGCATGCGTTTTGCTGCTGCTGCTGCTGGCAGTGAGGCCTGGCATGCCTCCTCCAACATTTTTAAGGCCCGAGGTGCCGGCTGGGCCGCAGCAGCGCATGCAGCAGCAGGAGCCACGGGAAGGAAATCCTTCTGAGACGAGCCCCGCCGGCCTCATGGCAGCTGCAGCAGCAGCGGCTTCTGCAGCTGCGGCCACGGCCAGTGCTGCTGCAGCAGCAGCAGCAGCAGCGGCACAACGCGTTGACTCGGACGCCGTGCAGCTCTATACAGCTCAGCTGCTGGGGGTACACAAGACAGGCGTGGACTCTCTGCTTTATTTAGGCGCTTGTTTCCTTTGCGGGGGTGAGGCCTAGTTGACAACCACTGGTAGCCGCATGCAGACACCAAACATAATCTCATACATACGCAGAGCCGTAAAGCAACTAAGACATAACCTCGTTGAGGTATAGACACGAAATATCATGTAGAGACATGAAAATCCAAAGAAGAACAGCGATAAAGACAGGCACAGTATGAGCACGAAAGTATACACAAAGTGGTAGAGTCTCACCAGCCTGACGGCACCCAGCAAAAATGTGTGAGCTCAGGGGCAAAAGCACTGGTAGGCACAGCAACGAAGATATGCGAAACTAAATTTGGATGCATTCCTCTGTTGGCAATGCAGCTTGAGGCACTTGTTTCTGCATTGCATTTGCTCTTGCTGCACTTCGGCTCTGTTGGTGCTGCAGCGCAGGGGGTGTGGATCATCTTTGGGGCCTTCGGCTTGGCGTGTCTCCCTTTGGCCTGGCTGCAACGTCGGC